TAGGAGGTACTTGCCAGAGGAACAAGTATCACCACAGCATTCATTTCCTTTCTTTCTTTCTGCATGTGTTTCATTTTCTCAACTGTGCCTATGTTTTAAATACACAAGAATTAGAAAGTATCTGCTATGAGAACTGTAAAATCTATACTCAATGTTATATTATCTCCTTTGTCTACAGAATTGTTAACGTCTTTAGTATATGCCATAAAATAATGTGTTTCTACATGAGATTTGTGCAGGGTGGAATTATGAACATGGCATGTGCTTGCTTTGTTAATCTGAAGATGTTAATACTATACGTAATGAAAACAGCTCTTGGTGGTTAGTCTATACTCAAGGGGTTCAGTGGGAGTCCATCTCTTAAAAGAAAAAAGCAGATGGGTAAGGGATTGAAAGATGATACAAAGGTAAAATAAGCACAGAAAAGAACCTCACCATAGCAGGAAAAAATAGTGTTAAAAATATTTTACTTTAGCCACATTAAAACATCAAAATTCAAGAGCTCAACTTCCCAGGGAAGCATATGTTACGGGCACAGCAAGAGCAGGCTGCTTGCTGCAGCCCTGGGGAGCAGTGCCTTGTATCAGGACTGGGAGATCCCCTCCAGCACACATGCAGAGCAGTATTGCCAGGTCCCAGCAGGAGCTGCATTTAGCTCTCTTAAGACCCAATCTTGCAAACACTTATGCACATGAGTAATTTCAGCTGCCACAAATCAGGTTATTCACCTGGTTTAAGTTTTTGCAAGGCTGGTGCAACATCAGGCCAATGTTTGTAAATGCTAGCCAACAGGATAAAATGGAAGAAACTGCCTTTGCCTCATCTCAGCAATGTGGGGTTTACTGTATTTTTATTTCCCAAATACGACTGGGAAAGGTTACAGCTGCAAATATTTAATTCTTGAATTTTACAGTTTCTTTAATAAATGAACCATTGCAACCATCTCAAGTATAGGGTAAAAAAAAATCATACAGTTCAAGAGTAGCCTGTGATTTTAAGAACTTCTAACATTTCATTGTCATTTCTGTTACCAGTTAGGGCCCTTTTTAGAGACCAATGGTTTTGTCATGACTCTCAAATTGTGGATAAAGCCAAATGAATGGCACAGAAGGCATCTACACGTCTCAGCTTACTGATGTCTTCATACTTTTCTGCATTTCATTTGTTTGTAGCTGATTTCTTCAGTTTGTAAGTTCTGGAGAAAACTGAATCTTCTAACAGATTTGTATTTAGTAAGTATGCGTATTATTCTCTTATCATACGGATCACTGACCAATGTCTGGTGTTTGTGATTTTCTAGTTGCATTGCTCCAGAACATGCAGGTTTATGACTTAATATGTGATCTCCATGAGCTGGAAAGACTCAGAACATATGGCAGATCAGATGTTAGGCTTGGGGAAAATCAAAAATTAAACTGTCTCCGAGACAGTTGAGAGACTGCTTTGCTATATATTTTATGTGATTTGTGTGTGTGTGTTGAGGGAGATGTCACCTAGGGAAGGGAACTGAAGAAAAAAATAGCTTTAAAAATGAACTGTTTGTATTACGGCTCTAAACATTAAAGTCTGGTCAGCTAAAAGCACATGTTGTGAACTAAAATGGAAACTTGCCTGAGGTCAGAATTGAAGAAAGCGTTCTCTAATGCCTCTCCTTACTAAGGAGTAAAAAATGCTTTCTGGTCTTGGAATTTATTATAAGCACAAAATGAATGCTTATTGTATGCTTATAAACACATCCATTTTCCCACTTTTATTCCAATTACTGTGTAACACTGGCAGCTTCAGAACTGAGTTTCAGACAATGGGTTCATAAGCAATCCTGACTGCATTCTATGCTCTTTATCATCAAATCTTTTGTTGTTCTGTGCTGGCCAAGATTCTGTCATGTTGGAAATAGGAATGAAGTGCTTCTTACCCTTGGCTGTCTGCCCAGTAATTAGATGGTGGATTAAAGCATCCAAACATGTGGTGTAAATTTGGGGATACTGTAATATGACACAGTTCTGATGAGAGACTTTTTAAGGTTAAGAATAATAAAGACCTCATATATGTTCAATTGCAAAAATGATCATAACCTTTACTGCATTCTTTTAATTGACCTAGGCTTGAACAACCTGAAGGAATACACTTACATTACGTACACGTACAATGTCTAAGAATTTGAAATGCAAAGTTAAAAATCAATATTTGCCAGAAAGAAAAAAGTTGATTAAATAAAAATTATTTATGTTAAAATCAATCAATATTTGAGAAAATGTCTCCTTTTCATCTATTTATGTATGAGGAAATACATATTTACAGTAGCTGCCTCTATAGTATTTGTTGACTGGCACGAAGCTTTGAACCAGCTTAAAACTTAGTCTTTCTGAGACAGTTCTGCTATTTATTTTAAATTTAACAGTTCACAAGCTTTGCTCTAATGGCAAGTCCAGAACTGTAAGTGGAAATAAAAAAATAAAACAACCTACTTCTGCATTTTACAGTATTTTATGTGATACTGTTTCAGTTCATGTGAACTTGAGCTTTGTTGCTCGAGATTAGCAGCAAGGAAAAAAAAAACTTTCTGAAACCCACTAGAATGTATTTTTAAGGATCAATATGTTCAGTATATTTATCTCCTTTCTGTAGGAACCCCTTTGATAATGCAGTCATACAGCGCAGGAATGAGCCACCTCACCTATCTGTACCACGGGAAGAGTAAAGACTTTTAGAGTAATACCCCCCCAGAAAACATCCATGTTTGCACAAGCTCTAAATCTGGCACCAGTGGAGTCCCTCCACATTCCTTTCTTACCGTTTTAAGGGGAATTTAGCCCTTCCCCATGGGTTTCCGCACTCGCGAGTGCAGTTGGTCCGTCAGGTGCCACGGCCGCCCCTGACCTCAGAGGAAAGGCGGCCAGCGCGGAGCGGACCTGTGTCCTCCATTTCGTGACACCGGGAGCCCACAGACCCTGGCCGGCTCCTGCGAGCCGTGGAGGGCGAGCGCTGCCAGGGAAGGATCGCCACTGATAGCTTCTCCCGCTCGCTTGGCTGAAGGGCGCTGAGAGTGCTGCCGGGGCGCTGCTGCGGCACCGCCTTGGCCCCTCTGTTGCCGCCATTTCGCGCGGCGGTGGTGGGAGGCGCTGTTGGCGAGGTGGGAGCGACTCAGCCGAGTTCTCTTTCCTTGCCGGGTCGGGGAATGAGCGCTGTGAGGTGGGGATGGCCCCTGGCCCTTCAGGGTACCTAGTGCACTGCTGGAAACTGAGCAGCTGTAATTGGTTTGGGCGGATACCCTCGAGGTTGTGACCGTCACTTGGCCCCTTGGAGGGAGCGCTGAGGTGAAATACAGGGGTGTGAGGAAACGATTTGGTTTTAGGAGGGAGATGAGAAGCAAACCCTCTTGTGGCCTGCAGTGTTTGTAGTAAGCTGTCTTAAAGTGGATGCATGAGAGGACTTTGCTTACAGCATTTGGCAAATATAAATGTGAATCAGTGGTCTGTGCTGCTCTGCAAATGCCTGCTCATCTCCCTCATTCTGCTATCTTGAATATGCATTTTTCCTGGGCTATCATACCCCTGAAAGTATGGAAAAGACCCCTGGATTCGTGTCCATCTTGGACATGTGTTCCCCCACGTCATTATTATTGTTCTTTAATTTTTCTTTTAAAAGTCTGAGAGACTTCTCACTATTTCTTGGCTGGGAATTTTGAGGGGGATGTCTCAGCTGACTGCCAGCAAGCAAGTGGATGAATGTAGAACTGCCCAAAGGAGAGATGTACCAGGGTTTTCCAGTCTCTTAGAATGACCTTGACATCTCTTACCATTTTTATTTACATTATCAAGCAATTGGAATTAATACAGTCAGACAAAGAGTAAATTATGCATAGAGAGTAGGGGCCTGAAGAGCTCTGGATATTAAGTATTGTATATAAAAGACTGTTCAAGGATGGGAATCCAGATTCTTTAAATGGAAGTTGGGTAATCATAGATTGACAATACCTAAGGTATGAAAAGCATTTCATACTGGTGTGCAGTGTTTGCAGCTCCTAGGAGCTGATGGAGCGGTGGTTATTCAGCTGGATAAGTGCTTAACACAGATACTACTACTTGAATAGCAACAACTTGATAGTACTAATAACAGATGCTTTCTGCTGATACTCAAGCCTAAGAACTCCTGCTTTGGATTACTGACGTTGAAAGAGTGTGTGAGCATGGTGGCAGATTAACCAGCTTTGTTAGATTTATGAATGTGATTTCTAAATTCTAGGTTTATTAGTATGAAGGAAAAGAGTGGCAAACCCTGGCAGTGGGGGGGTTGGCAGAAACTGGCAGAAGTGGTGGTGCTCAGAAAAGGAGTATGAAAGGGCATTGACAGATTTTAGGTTTTAGAACTTCAAACAAATCATCTTTGCTGTGCTCACAGACAGTTTAGATTACATGCTCTGTGTTGTGCTGGTACTGTGAAATGTTTTCTGGTTTCAATTCGAAACACTTCTCTGGAATATTTGAAGTTTTGCAGCTTCTGTAGAAGAAAAAATGCTTTTTAAATGTTTGCTTCTCAGCTGACAGTATGCAGTGATTAAGTAAACCTGAATCCTATTTGCAAAGTGCTCTGAAGGACTTTGTTCATGTGTTACTAATGAGATGCTAGAGTACAAAAGAAGTGTTGCCTTTGGTGTATCTCTGCAGGTAAAGAAGATAGCTTTGCTTTGTTGTTTTAACACCAGATTTGGCCTTATATTGAGTTGTGTAAACTTTGTTGGTTTGATATTTTACCATTTGTTTCAGTGAAATTAAGATTTTTGAGTCATAAATTTCTTTATTTGGTATTTTTTTAGTGAGATCTTTGATATATAAAGTTGTTCTTAAACAAAATTAAGAGCTCTGAAACTTCTCATCACAAATACATAAAGAAAACATGTCTAATGCCTAGAGTTGATTATAATTGAAAAACACTTAACTGGAGTATTTTTAAAACTTGTATATGATCAATTTAGACATAACCTAAGGTCTTGGTATTTCAGAACAAACCTGCTAATAACATTAAGGAGTTGGGCCCGTACTCCAGTTACCCAAGTAAGCAACTTGTACATGGGTTACAAAAAATAATCTGATTTGCTTATAAATTGAAATGATTGTTGGGGTTTTTTTAGATATTAGAACTATTTTGTTTTGCAAAAATTGATGGAATATGTTCATAAAACAGATTGTATTTTTCCTTCAGAACAGAAACAATCTGGAAAAAAAATAGTCTGCAGTTGTACAAGAGAATCTTAGCATTATTCTTAGAAGTTAGATAACACAAATTTTATCTGCATCTTCACTGTTCAGCACTTTTCCCTCCTGACATATCAGTAGTGTAAAGATTGTTTAGGCCTCCCTACAGTATTTTTTGGTCATAAGTAATAGGATCCATATTTTATCAGGAGAGAGATTTTCTTTTTTTTTTAGAAGAATTAAGGATGTAGGCAAGAGCTCTAAAAGAAAATAATCTAAACATAAAATATTGGCACTTATAGCTAATAAGATTTCTATTGCTTATACAGGTTCAATTCTAGTCACTTCAGTTTCATGGTTCCTTGTGCTGCCTTTTACAGATTAAGAAACTTCATACTTGATCTAAAAATGTTCAACTCTGCAAACATGGTCTTTTCACTGGATAATTTTTTTTATGAAAGACCAGATAAAAACCAAAGGTAAATCTTCATTGTTAAATATATATAATTGTTTTCCACAGTCTGAATTGTTTTACAGCAGAATAATTTTTTGTAACTCCCTTTTCTGTCTACCAATAGAAATGGGCCAGAAATTTCCGGGTTCATAACCCATACTTTGAAATGTTTTCCCAAGCACGCTGAAGTTTGAATGGTGCAGGTGTGTCTTAGGTTATAAGAAATATGGGTTAGCAGAAGTTTTGCCTGTTAAATTTTTCTATGATTAAAAATCATACAAATTAAAGAATATCTTTTAGCAGGAGAAACAGTAGGTTGTTTACAATTAGTGATTTTGAACTAAATGTTGTGAAGGGTGTTTAAAAATGCTTTGACTTTACATTTGTGTGTAAAAAATAGGTATCTAGAAAATGAAGAGCCTAAGGTTTGGTGTATTGCACCTGCTCCGTCTATTTCTGAAATTCCAGCTGCAGAAGAGTTGCAGAGGGAACTGGAAAAAACCACAGCCAACACTCATAACGGTAAAATATCATACAATAAAATGATAGAATCATTTATGTTGGAAAAGACTTTGAAGATCATGGAGTCCAACCATAAACCTAACCTTACCAATTCTTGCTAAGCTATATTTGACATTCATTTTTAATAGTTTAAGAAATGATTAGCTTTACAGATAATTCCTCCTCTCTTTTCTATTGCTGTGAAATATGGAATATTCTAGCTATGTAAATACAGACAAAGAATGTATTTTAGTTGAGGGTGAGGATCTTACATATGTTTGGAGTGTTAGCAGTCATCTTTGGGCGTATGCAAGCTGCATGATTACTGTTCAGAAGTGGGCAAGGTAAGAAGTATGGTCAAAATTTCAGCTACTCTGCATTGTTCCATGAACACGGTGGAAAGCAGCTGTAAGAGCATAATGCAACACATGGATGTGATAACCTGTCTCCCACCCAAGGAAGAGAGATACTGCTTGAACCTAACTTTCTTCCCTTTTGTGGCTTTTTTTTTTTCAAATTGCTGTTCAGAAGACCAAGTTTGAATCTGGCCATTGCTTTCTGCTAAGTGAGGTATTCCTTCCATCTGGACATTGAGGATCACCTTAAGGAAATTTATTTTCAAGAATTTGGTTACTTTATCTCTGTTAACTAGATTTCTGCATTTCTCAGCTGCTGTGCTGATTTATGATAGTCTCTGTTTAGGTATTATATTGTTAAGACAGAAGGGTTTTTTTCCTAGTTTCTAGATGGATGATACTGAAATTAATAGGCTGTGTAATACAGCTGTTCTGTAATCTTGTTGCATTCAATTGCTCATTTCTGCTTTCCTTCTGCTGACTGAAATGCTTGTTTGGGCATCTGTATCAGGACACAGATCCTACTGAGAGCTAACCTTTCAAAATGTGATAATTAACCAAGATGACTATAAAACCATCAATATGAATTTTGACTTTTGAGATTGCAGGCTTTATCTCATGGCTGTTTGTAGTAGGAGCTTCAAGCTTGGTCTCTGTCAGCTTTTTTAAAGACCATCTTTATTCTGGGACAGGGTGGAGAGTTTCAATCTTACAAACTACTTTGTAGTTCTGAGGAATAGTTTTGCTCCATTAGTTTGTATATAAGGCATAGAAAGTGACCATGTTTTTATAACTTTTTAATTAACAACATGCATTGCATTCATCAGCATGAGTCATAAAATATGCACTAAATTTCTTGCAATAAAATAGAAATATCAGTTCATGTAAGAGACATGAATTTGTCTTATTCTGTGTGGAAAATATTTACTAATATGAGTATGAATAGGAAGTTGAATATTAATAGGCATACTAATCTATTGTTTTTACAGGAGAGAGAAAACATAAGAAGTTTATACAACAATGTAAGAGTACCTATGAGGAAGGACATGATACAGCACCAGTACCAGCACCAGCTCAGTTTGGCATAGCCTCTGAAAAAGAAGTGCTCCAATTTAGTGTAGGAGAAAGAGAGAAAATTAGTTTTTGTCCTGAAAGTCTGAAAATAGTTTCATTGTTTCTCTGTTCTGATGAAAATAAAACAGGAACAGGGGTTTCTCATCCACCTGGTGCAAATTTTTCACAAAACAAAAGAGAAAGTAATTTTCCAGAAAACAGTAATGATGATGACGAGAGTGCCCATTCAACATTAAGAAAAAAGTATGTGTCTAGTCAAGTCTGATCATTTATCCACTGTCAGAATCATATTACTCTTTTAGACACGTTTATTAAACAGAGAGCTTTACATCCTTCAATTGAAGGTATATAAACAGGATTCCAGTCACTAGTTCTTTTCAGTATAAGGAAGAAAGATGTTTCCTTTTGTCAGTGTTTCAGTACTGTAATTAAATGTGTCCTGAGCTCATCCTCTTTTATAAGAAAAGTAAGGATGAAGTTTGTTGCTTTAATTTTAAAGAAATTGTTAGATAACAAAGGATTTTCAAAATACTATTTTGAGTTCTTTATTGACATGGTAATGAGCAACACATTTCAGAGCAGAGGTCTGCCAGCCAGGAATACCTTGATCAGTTCTCAACATGTGCTTCAGTGCTTCCTGGGAGGAGAGGTTTTACAGATAAACTCATCTTCTGCCCAGCTCTTCTCATTGCTCAGAACCTGTGTGTTTCTATTGTTCCTTATTGTGCAGAGATTGACAGTTTATCTCTCATTGCAATTCAGAGCTCATCTGGACAAGCAGTTAATTTGGGTTCTTTCTGGAATTAAAGTTAAAATGTATCTTGAAAGGAGTCTTCTTTAGGTAGAAGGGTGTCATTAACTAAAGTTAGAGACAAACTTTTCTTATGGATGTATCTTACTAATTCTGCTTCTGATACAAATAGATGTAATTTTAAAATGTTAGAGAAACTGTGTAACATTACAACAAACTAATGAAATTCTTGATCTTTTTCAGCTTATTTAAAATGCCTGGTTATATGCACACAAAAACAGAATTGAAAGATAGTTATGTTGATGTGAAAGGAGTTGATACTTACTTAAATACAACTGAAAACATGAAAGAAGTAAAAAAAGAAGATTTATGGAGAAATAATCATCATTCCTCAATAACTGAAGACTCAGATTTAACTCTGTGTAGGGTAAATAATGGGAACATTGCATCAAAAAATGGAATGAATATGAAATCATTTCCTAATGCTTCAGAGATTCTGGATATGACAGGTGACTATTATTACTCTCTTTCAAGAAAAATAGTCCACTGTCTGTCTTTGGTATGTAATAGTAAGGGATATCCATGATCTCAGGTAGAGTGAAGAACATTTTCCCACCAGCTCAAGGTGAGATAATTGGCTCAACCTGGAAGAATATACCGCATTTTTAGGTGACTTAATTGCATTGGGTTTTAATATGAGCTGGGTAAACAATTTAAGAAGTCACATTTTCAAAAGTGCCAAGTCACTCCAAATCAGTCCCCTAAATTTGAGAAAGAGCAGCCTCATTCCTTCATGTGGTAAATAGTCTCATCTTCATTTGAAAATGGAATGTTTCTTTGTGATGTGGTTTACGTCTAGATTTTAAGCTTTTTGGGACAGGGACTCATTGTGTTGGTAGAATGTACCTTGTGTACCTGGTTAACTCCTGCAGAAATACAGAGTACAAAAATAGTTCTAGCAGAAAATTGTAGGGCAGAGCTGTGGCTTAGGATGGGATTTGGAAGCTGGTCAGGAGTGGAAAACATGATTCCTCTCTGCCTGTTGAGCAGTGGTGACTAGCTTTGTGTATGAGTGGAGAAAAGTGGATGTCATGTACTTTGACTTAAGTATGACTTTTCATAGACTCATAGAATGGCTGAGAAGCACTGTCTTCCACAACATTCTCGTATCTGAGTTAGGACTCAGGATTAGCAATGGATGTCCAACTGCATGGGTAGAATAATGGTTGAATGGTCGGGCTCAGAGGTGAGTGTTAACAGGTCACATATTGCCCACATGCTGGCTGCAACTGCAGGGGTCTGTCCGGGGGGAGGGGACTGCTAGTGATCTCATGAAATTCAGTAGGAACAAATGCAAAGTCCTGCCCCTGGGAAGGAGAAGAACTTCTGTGGGTTCCCTGGGATGGACTGACTGGGTGCAGCTCTGTGGAAAATGCTGGGGTCTGGCAAGCAGCTCTCTGAACATCAGCAGTAACACAGGCCTACAGCATCCTGGGATTTGTTAACAGGAGCAGAGCCAGGAAAGTTGAGGGAAGTGATTATCCCCTTCTTGGCACTTTTGAGACTGGATCTAAATACTGCACAAACTTTTGAGCCTCTGGTACAGATAAGACATCCTTAAACTGGAGTGGGTTCAGCAAAGGGCCACCAAGATGGTCTTTCCAGATGATGAGCTTATGACCTCTTTGTCCTGTCCTCTCGGCAACTTCTGTAAATCCTGGACCTTGTTATAGCCTTGTAGTGCCTCACAGAACACACAGCTTGGGGTCAGGAATGTACTTTTCATGGGTATTGGTTGAAAACAAATCTGATTTTTTTGTACATTTACTACTTATATTTCTTTAGGAGTTACAGGAAGAAAATTGGAAATTTTGAGGGCCGTTACAGAAATACGTATCCTTCTATTTGCTGTATCTGATTTACTGATTTTAATACAATGCTTTTTACATTTACAAAATTACAGTTTTAATTTGTAGCCATAGGCGCTCTTGCATTACACTGTAATAGTTTTGATTCGTAACATAATGCTGGGAATCAAATGATGAATAGGTGTTTACCCTTTGGACTTCCAGAGCTAGCAGGAAAATAGGACAACTTACGGCTCATTCATTGCTAAGCAAATTTATTCTTATTTCAAACATTTGAAATTTATCCTCAAAACTTTTATTTTTATAATGTAAAATTTTTTGTTTGCACAATATATATATTTCAGGCAAGTTTTTATATGCAAACATGTACATCCCCATATACTTTAAATAAAGGAAGAGTAAATTATTATTTACGCTTATTAGGAAAACCGAATTTTTTTTTTTTCCCATTTTCTCAGGAGAAAATAAACTTCACCTGCTCCTTATAGGTCTGTATTTATGTTGTAGTGTGCATAAAGTGTATTTCCATTCTTTAAGCAGGTTTCACAATAATTTTCCTTCTTGGCCCTGCCTTGAACCCATAACACAATTAACCATCCATCTCTAGATGTCAGTTTACTTCTTTTTCTATTTTTACATTGTCTCATCAATATTTTGTTTCTAGTAAGCTGTCAAATGGTACGTTAAACAGCAGGAAGAGGAAATATCTAAATTTAGGCAACTTAAATTCATGTGAATAGCTTTAAGAAGTGTCATAATTTCCAAAATTAACAAAGACTCAGTTGGTCTGAATTTGCCATAGTGAATGTTCTTCATTTTGAAAATACAACACGTACTTAAGAAATTTTAGAGAAGTTTTTTAAAAAAATCCTTATTTTATTTAGTGTAATACTTGCTTATCTTCACCCATTTTTAATGGTTATACTTAACTGCTTTTGTTTCATGTTCTACTCCATTTCTTTTTCATCTTTATTTAGTCTCTGAATGTAACATAAATTTGAGGCCTCAGCAGTTCATTGTTCTTGTTATTGGAGGTGTTATGTCTGACTGTGTGTGCATCCTCAGCCTGATCAGACGGTACAGTTAGCCTGCTTGTGGCTTCAATGCAAGTCCAGACAAGGATCAACTCACTTACTGGATGTGTAATGTAACAATGCTCTCTTTTCCTCTTAATCGTTTTTGAGATAAGAATGTTGTTGTTTGATGAATACATGATATTAGACACTGGAAAATATCTGTAAAACCACTGATGTAGGTGAATTTTCTTTGCTACTGTTATGACCAGACAGACAAGATTATGCCAATTAATTTTTGCTATAGTACAGATATAATGTGACCATTGACACGTTAGATATGCAAACAGCAGTGCTTTACTTCTCATGTCTGGTTTGCAGTGTAGAATAAAGCTTTTATCGCTTACAGTTTCACTCTCCATAATTGTATGCCATTCCAGGAAGCCTATGCCAGGGAGCAGGTTCTTGATTATTGGTATAATCCTGAGACCTCTCAAATAGGTAGTGGATTTTTTTGGCAAAGTGGAATTATATGGCACACCAAGAATTTAAATAAAGCTACTAAGTAGTTTAATAGGTTGCCCTTTGGTAAACTTTCCCAAGCCTGTATCAGTGAAAGATTGTTGCATATGTTTTGATTTGCATTTAAATTATAAGAAAGATATTAATTTACAGTTCTAAAATAAATTTTGTGACTTTCAACTGTTTTAAAGTCCTTAATGTTGTCAAGCAACCCAATTTAGGAGTATTTTTAAGGAGTTCCCATATTTCAACTATGCACAGTCTAAAGCTTTGGATGATGTAAGTATGAAACATTAGATGCAGTACAGAGTAATACTTAGTAGATAAATTTAAAAGGGGTTAAAGTAGATAACTTAAAGGGGTTAGAAAAAGTAGATAACTTAAAAGGGGTTAGAAAACTGTGATATATCTAGAACCTCTCCTGGAATAGTTGAGCAGGGTTGTGCTTAGCTGGGAGAAGGGACTAGAAGAGCTTTTAAATAATGTTGTTGTCAGTTTTAAATAAATTTGTGTGAAGATGTGAATTCTGTGTGGATTTCTGCATACAGATTAGTAATATTTTTAAAGTTATTTTCATAGGAAGATTAAGAAAAGCAGAACTTTAGAGAAAGTTTTACTTTTGGAAAAGTGATGTTTATCCAACGCCTCTTGTATCAGCTATGCTCTCTTTAAAACCAGAACTTCTTTTGAAAGGGACCAGATAAAGACTGTATTATAGGTATCACAGAGAGGAGATACATGATCCATCAGCCTTCATCACAGCATTTGAAATCGTTATTCAACACTAGGGGAAATCCAGTGTCATTTACAAGCATTTATAAGCATGTGTTTTTCAAGCTACTTTTGATGTTGCAAATGTTTTAATTTCTTATCCACTAATTATAGAGTGAAGTCTTTAAGAATGGTATTTATATGAGCAGAATAATCTTGTATTAAAATTATACAAGGAGTTATTATACAAGCTTTCCACCCCCCTACATTTTTAGTTCTGTGCATAAATTTGGGTTATTTTTTGCTTTCTTCCAAATTTGCATTTATTTGCTGAGGAGAGCTATACATCATATTGGCCTGTAAAATAATCTTGTGTGACTGTCCCTAGAATAATGGGAAACAGCATGTAACCAAGATTTACTTTCACAGAAGCTGCAAAAACAGGGAAATAGTTTTAGTTTCCAGGGAAATAGTTTTCAAAACTTAACATTCTATTAAAATGATAGCTATTAAAATTATACATATTCAACACTGTTGCAATTTTGACTGCAGTTTGCATTACAGAATGCAAACAAATTGCACTTGGAATTTGAGCACAAAATACCTCTTTCTGATGAGCCTATGTTTGGTTCCAGTCAGATGTTGGCAGTGATTCTGTTTTAATGTAATATAAAGCTAGACACTGCTTCTTTTGTTTGCTGCAGAATGGTAAACTTCATTCCATAATAACCTTAAGATGAACAGTATCTCATTTATGGTTCCATGGCAGGTGTGTGGCAGAAGATGATGTTCTTGTGCTGTAACATAAAGTTCACAGCTAATGCAAACATTTTTAGAGGAGTACATATGTCAATGTAATAATAATTTCCCTGTGTGGTTTTTCCCTAACAATGCTTTTGGAATGTATGAATAGGTACAATGGATAGCTGTGCTATATTTACTACTTTGCAATTCTTTCCTAGCTTCTGTATACAGATAGGAATTTTGTGATTTGTGCTCCGACTGGCTCTGGAAAAACTGTAATGTTTGAGCTAGCTATTACCAGATTACTCATGGAAGCCCCACTGCCTTGGCTAAACATTAAGGTTGTTTACAGTAAGTATTATGCAGCTTTAAGCCTTTTGGTAACAGCAGTAGAAAAGGTCATTCTCTGTTGTGGAGATCTAGAGTGACTGCTTGAATTATATGGAAATTAAATATGTTAAGAAATTGTGGCCTACCTTATTCTTTAAGTAGTTGTTTGTTTTAGGGTTTGTTTCTGTGTGATACCATTGTAACTCTTACTAGTGTTTAACAGCACTGTATAATTGTAGCGTTCAGCATTGCCTATACAAATAAAAATAAAGAAATCTTGTGAAGAGTTTGTCATCTAGGAAGGCAAGATAGACACTAAAAGGGAAGAAGAAAGCAAAGAAAACTAAAATTCTTACTGGCAGATGCCTGCTTGTTGCTCTAAGATGAGGATCAAATCTTCCATTTTTATTTACCTGTCAGGGTTTCTGTTTACTAGTTCAAAGGTAACAAAGCTATGATCTTTGAGTTTAATTGATCTGTGTAGGAACTAATGAAAATACTTGAGAATAGTCACAACCATTAACACCTTTTATTTTTTTTCCTTTCTGGAGAATTGAATTCATAACACGTAAATCAGGTGAAATTGGTGGCTTTGTCCCAGTTTTAATTAATACATACAGTGATATATTTGTCAGTCTTCTATTAATGGTTAATCTTTATATTTACAAAAGTTTCAGCTTGATGTATTTATCTTAATTCCAAAGTGTTCAAGTTCTTACAATAAAGCTAGTGTAGAATTTACTGTGTATTTTAAACAGGAGGTATACAAGCAGGCATGTATTACAGTTTCTCTGTCAGCATATCGAGGTGAAACATTTCAGTGAACTGTAATGGTTTTGATTGCCTTGGTAGAACTGATACAAACTGTCCGGTTGGAACTTCAGTAAGGAAGCCAGTTACCTGCTGGTGGAATTAGATCTGCTGACTTTTCCAGGTTTGACAGTGGTGGAGAAAGAGACCTAGTTTTCCAAATGTTGGAACAGGGGTGTTAATCAGATTCTGTACTGCCAGAGCATGCTGTGATACCTACTTCATCAGTGGCCCAATCTGTATGAAATAGCTTGCAGTAGTTTTGTAAATTAGAGTTGTTTCCCAAGAGCTTTAACACATGCTGAGGATTGGTGACTGAAGTCACCAGAGCAATCATAAGCTTCTTGTATTCTTCCACAGCAAAAGATCATTACTTTTGCAATTTTGAGTTACTTTCTCATAGCTTAATCTGTTTTCTGGAGCTGGTGATTTCCATGCTTTATAGACCACTGATGACATGAGATTTTATACCTCTTTCTGAAGCAGAAACTGGTTCTTTAAATCTCTTCATTTTGGGAATCACTTGTCAACTGGTATGATGCTGATGGGTCATATTCCAGTTGCTCTAAATAGCGTAGTGTGTGATCACTGCAAGATCTATTTCATTACTGCTGTTTTCAGATCATGTGTAGATCACTTCTTTTACTTAAATCACTGCATTTTCTGTATAGATTACCCATCCAATATAGACTTACATGTGTTGCTGGTATTAGTCTGTCTAGAGAATTACTTCTGATTTCTAGGAATCAACTTCCATCTGCAAAACATAGTAAGTGTCCAGTGGAAAAAAAATATTATGAAGAAATAGGTTGTTCTAGGAGTCTGTTTTTATAAGGCCCAGCATCAGAACTGCTACCTGCCATGTTAGTTGCTACTTGCTTTGTTAGCTGCTTGGTGCTGACTATGTTTAACTGTACATCTGGTTTAGATAGATTTTGATTTTTTTCTAGCATACTGTCTCTTGCTCATGGATGGTTTCTCACTTATGACCCTTTTCCTCTCTGAATACAGAGTGTTCAAATCATTCTGAACTGGCAAAAGGTTGGTATTTGTATGATCTTCTCTTGGAAAAGATGTCTTTCCTGTGGTTTCTTCCATGTGTGAGAAAACCTTTGGTAGCTGAGTAATTGTTTCCATGTGGGACTGAGGAAAAAATTAGGATTAAGAAAGGGCATAAATAACTGTAGTAAAAGGGTTCTGTTTCTGATTGCTGATGGGGAAGAACTGGGGACCAAAGCTCAACACCAATTTGTGCACATGGAATAGGATAATAAAGTTAATATCAGTTACAAATTTTATGGTTCTGGGAGCAAAGCTGAAAATTAGGGAAATTAGATTCAAGAAGACATCTTAAAAATCTATGCATTTAGCATCTTTAGCAATACAGTTGAAGCTTTGGTTTACCTGATATAACATTGATTATTTTGTGTTGGTTTTAGTGGCTCCAATAAAAGCTCTGTGCAGTCAGCGTTTTGATGGTTGGAAAGAAAAATTTGGACCTATAGGACTCAGCTGCAAGGAACTGACAGGAGATACAATGGTGGATGACTTATTTGAAATACATCACGCTGACATTATTATTACTACACCTGTAGGTTTCAGTCTCAACTCTTACCAAAAATTAGAATAAGCAGACAGTAGTAGTCTACTCATTGTATTCTAGTAGGACTGCTCTTTTTTTATGATCCTTATACTTGCTCACACACTGCTGTGCATACTATTAGTTCATAGAAACAACAGCTAGTAATATAATCATGTGCCAGATGAAACAAACATGGCATTAGCTTGAATTAAACTGATTTTGTTTCAAGACTAATTGAAGTTTGGGCATGTCTGCCTGTACTGTACTTTTGGCATATGTTGGCCTTTCAAGCGTCTTTTGCCTTTTGTTGTTTGTTACGGTTTTTTTTTTCTCCTAGGAAAAATGGGATAGCATGACTAGAAGGTGGAGAGACAACTCTGTAGTCCAGCTTGTACGACTGTTTCTCATTGATGAGGTAAGAAAATTAATGTTTCATATGCACTGGTTTTCTTCTTGAAGATAAAAGGAACTTAAAAATATAACATTTATTTAACACATGTATAAATTGTAACTGGACAAGTATTTAGCAAATCTTTTAAAATTCCTAATAGGTGCATGTTATAAAGGATGAAAGCCGTGGTGCAACATTAGAAGTGGTAGTCAGTCGGATGAAGACTGTTCAGTCTTCTCTTTGGCATCTTTTTGAGAATCATGACACTGTTCCTCCCTTGAGATTTGTAGCTGTTTCTGCAACAATCCCAAATGCTGAAGATGTAAGAGCTACATTTTAACTTTGAGTTAATGTAGTTGTATTTTATAAAACTTATCTGGACTAATAAATTCAGATTGATAACAGAGTTGTGTCATTTTGAAGCTGTCACCTGAAGGCACCTGTGAGGTAGATGTTAATGTACCACATGACCTACAACCATATGGAATTATTAGCCAAGTATGGACATGCTTCAGTTTTAGATTTGTGTTTTTTGTCTTTAAGTACAACTCGCAACTGACTTGAGATTTCAGTACAAGTTATATTGGTCCTGTAGATAGCAGCGATTCACCTGTGTTTTTAATGATAAAAGCAATGTCAAGTGTATTAATAGTTTACATGTGACAAAAGCTAAGTTAATTATTGTGTGATGCAGTTAGAGCACAGGGAGATTAGAAGCAGAAATTTTTCATTTCTGTTCTATTTCTTCTTTTCACAGATTGCAGAATGGCTTTCAGATAGTAAGATGCCAGCTGTATGCCTGAAAATAGATGAGGATCAACGACCAGTCAAGCTACGCAAAATTGTTCTTGGTTTTCCATGCAGTGACAATCAGACAGAATTCAAATTTGACTTAACTCTTAACTACAAGATAGCTAGTATTATACAAGCATACTCAGAACAAAAACCAGCACTTGTGGTATAACAGCTTTTCCCTTCATCACATTTGAAACTATTTCTTTCTTTTAAAGTATTGATTAAAAAAAAAACCTTTTATTTACAGTTTTGTGCCACAAGAAAAGGAGTGCAACAGGCTGCTTCTGTTCTTGCAAAAGATGCTAAATTTCTACTGAGTGGAGAACAGAAACAAAGGTATTTGTATGTTGAGTTGTTAATAAGTGTTTGCGTGTTCTAGTAAACCTGTGACTTCTGTGAAGAAAGCTTTTGAACTAATACAGTTTCTAGCAGAAGAGTGTCTGCAACAAAATCATCCTCACAGTTGATTCTTTTTGGTAAACTGGCACTTCTTGGGAAGTTTTATTTGCTTCTCGGATGTTTAGGGTACTTCATACAAGCATTCAGTTATTTCTGAAAGCTGCCTTCTAAGTATACAGATGTTAATTGCTATGGACCTATAAAGCCTTGTATTGCAAAGGTTAAGCATTTGAATAGTTGAATTGGATGTGGTCTTACTAGTGTTTTAAGTTAAGCTGTAAGAAGTCTTTGCATTATCAGGAACCTTTAATAAATGCAGCCCTGACCCATATTAGTTATTATTTACTTCAGGGTTGCTTAGTCCTGGCAGCTGCAGGAGCTACTTCCTGATTTTGGACCTCAGACATAGTCTTCTTTGTGTTATGTGAACAACATCTAGATTGTACGTTGTGAAGTGGAAAGATAACTGACCTGGAAAGGCTGCAGCAGCTCCCCCAGAGAGTCAGTTTTGTTCCCTTTGCAAAGATGGGAAAGGTGGTGGTTGAAAATATCCAAAGAATATATTCTTTAAATGTTATTTTAAGACTATGTCCTTTTGATAGTCTAGCATGTAATTGGAAACTGTGAACATCCTTAAAAAGCACAAATGCAGTAGAAGTATGGGAAAGTATGTAAAAAATGTACATGTCAAGGCATACATCTCACAATCTTTAGGCGAGCTAATGGTGTATCTAGTTTCATGTGAAGCTTTATTTTTGCATTTTAAAAACATACTTAGTCTTTGTATATTGCATTTAGATTAGTGAATGTGGTTTGTGATTTTAAGTATTTTGGTTTTTCTATGTGTGTTGCATAGATTACAGAGGTCTGCAAATTCGCTGAAAGATTCCAAACTGAGAGGTAAATATAACCTACTACTTCTCTGCTTCGTGAATGAATACTTGCTTGAGTAGTATTATTTCATAACTGTAATTATTATTATAATTATTTTACTATCAGATCTTTTAATGTATGGTGTGGCTTATCATCATGCGGGTATGGAGTTATCTGACAGAAAAATAATTGAAGGAGCCTTTACTGCAGGAGACTTACCAGTACTTTGTAAGTAAACGTAACTTTGAAAGTCAAAATGCTGTTAATGTATCCTGAGAGGACTGCAGTTTGGAAGTGGTAATATTTTATGATTCTATGGTTTGTTTAACCTTTGGAATTATTACTTTGTGAAATCCAGATAAAGAGGTGTTTGTGTTTTAGATACACTTTCACCCTGTGAGTATGCATACACACTGTTACTGAAGACTATAGAACTTTTCTTCTTTACAGTATACATAGAGGTCATCCTTCCTCATATGTCTATATAGGTCTGCCAATGTCCAGTTCCTTTTCATACCACTGAGCCATCCTGTTGAGGTGAAACTCTCTGCTAGTGTGTCTTGCCCCAGAGTTCACATGTTTTTTGTTTGTGTCCTTTGCAGCAGTGATACATGTTAAAATACAGTCATAAAGGTAATCCTTTAGGTTTATGCTTCTTGGATTGACAGGCTACTGTGTTCAAACTCCCATGCAAGGTGTTTCGACTGATGGGGAGGTTCCTCAGTATTCCATCTGCTGTTACCCAAGATGAGAAGGTAACTGTTTGAGTCATGAGGCTTTCATTTCATCCAGGCTTTCTTTTTCTGTAAAAAAAATTCAGACCCTCTGGGAGTTGTCTGTGTGGTTCTTGCACAACACTGAAAGATTCATGGATTTTTTTCTTTTCTACCCAATGGTCATGACTCACTATGAAAATTTAAGGTACATACCCTTACTGTGACCTGGCAACCTTGCTGGAGTTGCAGTGTCCATGACATTAAAAAGTCTCTGCATCCCTGCAATCTACTGTACTTTGGCTGCCTGGTGCACTGCGTATGGCTTTGCCAACTGCAGTGCCATTTCTGCATTCTCAGGAGACTGGTTCGACAATTGCTTTTTGCAAAAATAACTCTGAAAACCTGTGCCACAGCTGAGCACACCATGAAGGTGTATGTAGGCTGCCACTGAAAGAATGCAAGGTTGCTGACTGGTACTTTAGTCATTTGAAATTTGTAGTTTGTATGAATATTTTGGAATCTTCTGAGATACTAGAATTACATTACTACAACTGAGGGGAAACTGAAAGAGTATGGGGCATATTCCACTTTATATATCTGACGGAGAGTTTTAAACACACCTTTCACAGATACTGCAAAGGAGAAAAATTCTTTGGTCTTGAAATAGAGTGTATGTATACTCACAGTGTGTGTGTGCATACATGTATGTATAAACATACACCTATATGGACTGAAGTATGATTGCACTGTAAATAACCTCTCTTTGGACTTTTTTATGGTTAGCTCATTTTGCTTTGACAAATATCCCATTTTGCAACCAACACAGTATGACAAAACATAATACATAATACTCTCACACGATGGGGTGGATATGTCTTTAAACTAAAGTTTTCCTTCCTGATGCACCTGAATTTTAGTTCTGCTTTTATTTCAGAAAAGAACTGAAAAATTCATTGCTATTTTGTTTTCCTAGAGCAGTAGTTTTATCATTTGGCTTTTATAGGTATTTTTCCATGTTCAGTTCCTGCCACCCCATATATTTGTTAGAGAAAGTGAATTAGAAAACATGAGTGTGAGAGAATTTGCCACAAACTTGACTGGGGTTTTCTGTGTGAGCGTGTGTATTGGTAAAGTAGTGTGATAGTATTGGTGGTGATTCTGGTTTGGTACCATGGTTATGAAGATGCTAATGACTGATCACTTAAAATACCTTAAAGAGATTGGTCACTACAAGGCAAGATGTAGTCAGGCCTGTATTCAAATATCTATCAAGAAATATGAATAATGTTTCTTCAATGTGTATGTGTCATATTGAAGATGGATTGGATTCTGGATTATCTCCAAATGTTAAGGAATGTTTAAATAAAAATATCTAGGATGTAATTTGTTAAAGATTGTTGTGCAGTGTCTGCAATCTGTGTCTAAGTCTTTGTGGTGCAGAATGCCCACTGCCTTCACTAGAAGATAAGAGCTCTTAGGAATCAAGAGTTAATCACTTACTTGCTGCTTTTGGATGTTTTTCGTCTTGCAATCGATATACTTTAATCTGATGTAGTTACTACCAGCACCTTAGCAATGGGAGTCAATCTACCTGCACATCTGGTGGTTATAAAATCCACAATGCACTATGTTGGAGGAGTGTTCCAAGAGTACAGTGAAACTGACATTCTGCAAATGATTGGGAGAGCAGGAAGGCCTCAAGTAAGTTAATGCTATATTAAATTGATGCTATATATGAGTGGATCAGTAGAAACTATTCATGGCAAAGAAACTACAACACCAACAATCTTACTGCAATATTTGGGTTTTAAAGGGTTGTTATTAATAGTTAAATTACTGTTGGGTAACTTCATAAAGGAATTCTGTTTTCTTTTGTATTGTTCACTAAAATGTACTGCTTCACCTTGCTCTGGAAGAAGATCTAAAGATCACATTTGGGTTACATAATGAATAAGGAGTAGAGAAAAAGTAGGAGGCTGGCATACAACTTACAAATGACATGATAAAGATTGTGTAACATTGAATAGTATTGAATAATATCATGGAGAGCCATGTGCTTTTGTTCTCTCAACATCAGACTAAGAAAACATATAATTAAGTTAGATGTGGAATTAGAAGGGGAGGGTCAGAAACAGTGCCTTCAAAGAGTTCTAATTCATTTTGCTTCCACAAGAGGTTGCTGATGCCAAGAATGCTGTGTGTTAGAAAGGCTTTAGACATTTCTTTAGTTGTAAAAAGGAAGAGGGGGGTGGGATTTAAAAATGATTATTTTAATTTTGCCTCTTTCAAGTCTTCAAATCGTTTATGTTAAATCTTACACTTTTAAGCCTTTCAATATTTAGAATAAGGATAGATAAACAGATAGCTAGATAGAGCCAATATAAAGCCTAATACAGGAGATAGTTAGGAGATAGGCTGCGTATATTAGCCACTGTGGTATGTTGTGTACATGACACAACAGTATATTATCTGGACATAAGATCTAAACTAGTATGGAAATGCCAATAATCCTCACTTTCTTAACTGATTGGGTTTGTTTTTTTTTTTTTGCTAGAGTAAATTCAGTAAGATTTTAAAAGTTGTGACTCAGAATCCTAAGGCATTTCAACTTCCTGAGTCAAGACCTGAAATATTTACCAAGATCTGCCTTATAGTAGTACATATATTAATCTGATCTTAAAAAAATGCAGACATTAGGAAACTTCTTGTATCAAAAAAAAAAACAACAAATCAGTCTAATAGTATTTTTTTCCCCTCACAAAACAAAATAATGTGAGGTGGTTTGAGAGTAGATACGAAGATTACAGAAATTTACCATAAAAGGGTTGACTTCTTTCAAGACTTCCTGATGTTTGGAGATGATGAATAAAAATTTGTGTCAGAGAATTATTCTCTGTGCTTGTGGTCAGGAATCCTTTCTTAGCTGTGGACCTTGTAAGAAGGTCATTAATAGTTCACATTTGTGGTGTTTCTCAACATGTTTCTGTTATGTACATTAGCACATAAGGGCTGGAGTCTGCCAGCCAGCAAGGGCTGGAATCCAGAGTCCTGCTTGCTACCCACAGGAGTTGTAACTCACCTTTAAATTAGAGAGACCTTGTCATTCAACAGCCATTTCAACAAGGATTTTAAGAAACCAGTTTTAAGGTTTTCAACACATATGTGATGCATATTCAACTGAAATTTCTTTGCTAAGAGCTAAAGAGCAGGTTTTGTTGTCTTATTTTTCAGTTTGACACTACAGCTACAGCAGTTATTATGACTCGTTGGAGCACAAGGGAAAAGTATATGCAGATGTTAAATGGTGCCGATATAATAGAGAGCAGGTAAGTAAACATTTTTTACAAGACTATATAGATGGTAGCAATGTCTCATAGTTTCTACAGAATGTGTAGAAAGTAATTTAAGAAATGTAATCAAATCAAGCTATACAGAAATTAACAGCCTCTGTTTTATTACCTAAAAACATCTTTTGAACATCTTAAACTAAATAAAAATGTTGTTGATTTCTGCTGGAAAACTGAAGAAACTGAAATAGTACATGTTGCAAAGACAAAAAGCAAGAACTGAACCAAGATCGTGTCTCTGAATTTTTAGATTATAGAGTCTGGATAATACCAGGCTACAGAATTCACTTGACATGAACAGAGTATCAAGAGAAACATGTAGGAAAGTTAAGACTTTGAAGGGTTAAACATGAAATTTTGCTAAGGTTTAAATTTTCAAATATATTCAAAATACCAACACTGTGCTGTGACTTTTAAATGTATTTGAACTTTCAAAGCTTTATTTTCTAAAGAATGTGGAACTTTACAGTTGACAGGGTTTTTATTTTTGCTTGATGGACATTAAGCCATAATAACCAGATTACATTGTTGATTATTTACATATTCTTTACAGTGTTCTGTTGATTTTGCTGCTTAAGGTGACAGTTGACAGGAAAACAAAAAATAAAACGAACCCAGAAAATTGTTGTGAGCTGGGGAGGGTTTTGTTTTCTTTTGGGCACTTTTTGTACTACTAATTTGTAAACGTACTTACCATTTACTTTTTTGTTTCACTAGCTTGCACAGACATCTTGTTGAGCACTTGAATGCAGAAATAGTGCTGCGTACTGTCACGGATGTCACTGTAGCTTTGCAGTGGATACGATCAACATTCTTGTACATCAGAGCCTTAAAAAATCCAACTCATTATGGTTTGTTGGTTGTTTTTTTAATTTGTCTAAGTTATGACACTAGTATGTGTTAGATCCGTGTTGTTTCTTTCAGTTCTTTATGCACTATTATTTCATAAGGGCTTCAAAACAGGATGTGTAATATGGCTTGTGACTTTTTGGGAACAGTTTCAGCTGCTTTAATAGAAGTAATAGGAGTTTCAGTATGGTATATCATTAAAAAACTATGAAAAAGGCATTTACAGCTTCTCAATGATCTGCTTCTTTTGAAATTAATACACTTTACTATGTATTAATGCAATATTGAGCCACAATGTACTTTTCAGCGCTGATTAGATAATGTGCTGCTAAAAAAAAAAACAACAAAAAAAAAAAATCTAATTTTTAATAGTTTTTCTGAAATTAAAGATTAACTGATGTCCTCAGTTTGTCTTGCCCAGAACAGCCCCTTAGTCCCCAGCCCTGACCATGTCTTTGTTCCTGGTCACTTGCTCTACACCTGATTATGAAGTGTCCTGGTTATGTTGCATTCAGGTCATTGGGCACTTGCTGGAGACAACTTTTTGTAAGGATTTATAGATGGGACTGGCACACAGTACATCTAGTGCTTAAAGGGATGTTATGATTTAGGTGGCTTCCTGTATTCTAAAATAGGAAAACTACATGTGAAGTTCTGACATTTCTGCAACTTTTAGGACTCTAATATTTTACATAGGGGAATATCTGCAGCTTTTACCTCTGTACATTTGCTTTAACAGTCACTTGCTGATACTTAGGTACTTATGCTATGTAAGGCTTTCAACTTGTTCCCAGTATAATAAATAAAATCTACCAATTTGAGGTATTCTTCTGGCTCCTCAAAATCAGTAAATCAGTTTGATGAGTAAGGATATCAAGGAGGAGTATATCATTAGGTTAAAAAGCATATTGTCTTTTCATGAAGGTTTTTCATCTGGATTGGATAAAATTGGAATTGAAGCAAAATTACAAGGTAAGTGACTTTAAAGTTTTTTTGGGTAAAATGTTACATTTTAGGGCAGGGTCATTCATGTATATTATATTTACATTAATTTTAATAGGTTCATTCACAGAACAAATGTAATTCACTATGTTTGTTACTGATTTTATTATAATACTTTCAAAACATCAGTACATTTTGACTGGTGGAAGGGTTTTTCTTGTGTAGAGAAAAAAACACCTTTACTTATCTCATCTCCATACATATACTCAGAACTGTGTGTGGAGCATAACAGTTAAATTTTGGCTGCTTTTCCTTTGATGGTTCTCATTTGCTTTCACTAATTTCTGTTACTATACTTGCCAGTTTCTGAAAGAGCTTTTTTGCATCTTCCCTTCATCATAAATATAGCCTTGATAACAAAGGATATAAAATACAAACATCTTCACCTTGTTCAGAACCAGTTTAAAATTAGAATTATAGGATCATTGAATGGGTTTGGTTGGAAAGGACCTTAAGATCATCTAGTTCCAACCCCCTGACATGGGCAGGGACGCCTTACCCTAGACCATGTTGCCCAAGGCTCTGTCACCTCACCTTTAGCACTGCCAGGGATGGAGCATTTACCACTTCTTACTTCTCAGTAAGAAAAGTTACCTAGTTCCTATCTTCATTCAGTTGTTTTCTACCTTTTCCTGTCTTTTTGATCAGAACACTTCTATTTTTGGTGCTTAATGAAGCATGTTACTTCCTAAATAAGCTTTTATGTGAGAAGGCATGGTTTGAAATCACCTCTACATATAGTGATAGAGTAGAAGGCTTCACTTATAAATGCTTTGTAGGTGTGGATCGTATTTCTTTGAAGTACTCTGATCTTAAAAACCTCTTTTTACAGTTCTTGTTGTAACTCCCTTTCCTTGCATACATGAAGTATTTTGTATTAATGTATGTAGTTATGTTCTCATACATTTCACTGCAATGTGAATGATTTCTGGCTGCTTTCACTTTGAGCACTTTCCCAACATACTTTTAAATTTTGAACATTGTTTGAATATACTTTTTGCCTGAAAAGGAGTTGTGCTGTCCTGTAGCAGTATCTTTCAGCGAGCTTTCTCCAGGCAGAGGTTAACCACCAACTTCAGCAGAAGCAGTTTCATATTCCAAAACCTTTACCTGAGTTCTATAGAATTAGTTGGGTATGCATTCAGTGCAATTTGATAATGTTTCTGGTTTGTACATAGTTTTTCTGCATATACTAAACCCACATATATTTTCAATTTGTTGATAGAACTATGTTTGAAGAACTTAAATGATTTATCATCTTTTGATTTGATCAGAATGGATGAAGAAAATAAATTCAAACCAACAGGTAACACCTTTTTAAAATAAACTGATTTTCAGCAGTGCTGTTGAGATTGTAGTGAACTACAACAGGTCACAACTTAATAGGACCCATTAATAGAAGTACAGAAATGTAGGAGAGAGTAGAATCTGAGAGATTGTTTGACTAGAATATACTAACAGGTTTCCTTATCAAATCATAGAAGTTCATTCTCTTAATGTTTATCCAGGAACAGATCTCTTGTTGCTGGTAAATTTGCTGCAGATTAGGAGAAAATTACAGAAAATTATCACAGAATAGTTGAATGTGACACAGTGCAATGAAGGATGGGTTTATCAATACCTGCTCTTCTCTACAGTCCTCTGCTAGAGGTGGTTGGCTTCTCAGCAACCACAGTTCGCATTCTGGTATATTAGTGTGAATTCATCTTCATTGGAGAAAACTGTACCTGGCACATGTTTCTTTCTGCCACTCTGTGATGGGGTCAGTAATGTCCATCAGGCAGCTGGGGGCAATAATATACTGAGTCAGTGGTGGTAAATGTCATAGACTCCTCCTATAAGAAAATCACTTTGATTTTAAAAATGCATGAAAAACATTTGGCATGTTTATCTTTTAAGGTATGTTCTTCTTTTACAGAGACTGGAAGATTAATGGCGTGGTATTATATTGCATTTGATACAGTGAAACAGTTTTTCACTATTAAGGGAACAGAGACTTTAAATGAATTGGTAATTTAACTTTTCTAAGAAAATTTACATATTATCGATTGATTTTTAAGCAGAAGTTTTAATTTAAACAGCTCACGCTTTGTCTATGTAAAGTTTCAGAGACTACATCTAAATAAATTCCTTTTGGAGTATTTTTGAGGCTTTCTACTCTTTGAGATCTTTTGCTTTCAAATTCTTTCTACCCTCACCTTGCTTGTGAAGATTAAAGTTGCTGAAGCTGTTCTCTTTATGTGTCACTGTACTGTATTGTGGCTTAGTAGTTATGTTTTAGTGCCAAAACAAGCAGCATGGAGAGCACATTTTGCTTTTAAAGGAATGTTGCTGTCTTTCTGGTTTAAATAATTTTCCTCTCTCAAATAAGAGGTTGTTATTGCCACTGTTAAGTCACAAAAGGCGTGTTGTTTTCATGCAAATACTATAGCAGAACAGATTGGTCATGAAAAAATGGAATGCCTTTTCTCCTCAGGAGACTGTTTTGTTATGAAAGTATGAAGAAAGTAAACTGAAATACGTAAGAGGGCAAAAATTACTTATAGTTGCTTTATATGTCATGACGTGTTAGCTGTGTGGTTGATTCTGGATAACTTCAATTGGGATAGTAATATAAAACCAAAGAAGTCTTCCCATTTAATAGCCTTTATAGGAAGATGAAGTTGGTCAGTATTAGAAAGAATCAACTGAACTTCTTTCCATGGTATAGGGTTGACACAATAATGTTTTTTTTAAAAGCTTTTTATTTTTTAAAAGAAGGTAATTGGAAGAAGTGGTAAAAAAATGACAAAGAAAAAGAATGAGTAAAAAAGTTAAATTGTTACAGATTACAATGATATCCAACTGCACAGAATTTCTGGATGTCAAGTTAAGAACTAATGAAAAGAAAATACTGAACACATTGAATAAAGACAAGGACAAAATAACTATCAGGTATAAAAAATAAGTACATTGAAAAGGAAAGTCTCTTTTTAGTAATAAATAAAATAAAGAGCAGAAAATCTGTCTATTTTCATTCATAGGTTTCCAATGGAGGGGAAGATAAAAACAAGAGAAATGAAAATAAACTGGTAAATATGATAATTGTTTTGTTACTTTCCATTGAAAAACTGTCATTTTAGATGCTGAAATCTGCATCATTTGCATTTCATTGTTTCTATTCTGAATTGTTTTCAGTAGAAAGTTTTATGTTGTTATACTTTGCTTACAGTATGGCTTATATACCAAAACAGTCTGGTTGGTTGTTTGTTTTTTTTTACAGTCTTATACAGGCTCAGCTCGGATGCATTCCTATTCAAGACTTTACTTTGACACAAGATACCGGCAGAATATTTAGAAATGGCTTAAGAGTCACTAGATGTATGGTGAAATTTAAATCTTTTTTGGTACATATAATAATCTACATTTTAGTTGATTTATACAAGTCAATCTTATTTTTACAGGGTTAACTGACTTTCTGGCATCATGTAAGGACAACTTTTCTGCTTTATTAAACTCTTTGATTTTAGCAAAGTGTTTCAGATGCAGACTTTGGGAAAATTCACTTCATGTGTCTAAACAACTGGAAAAAATTGGTAGGTAGTAGTCTCATAAGGGTGAATCCAATAGAAAATCAAGACTCAGAATTAGCCTGCTAATTTTTGAGTTGTCTGCATACATAATTAAATGAGTCTCCTTACTACTTACTTTCCACAATTGAGTACCACAGTTGTTGGAATAGTCTGTCCTAAAAAGTAATGCATTCAGTAATCTTCCAGGCTTTCAAAGTACTTCAGAGTTGTTCTTCTTTCTTAATGTTCATCTCAGTATCTTGGGCATAGTCCACATTTGTGTGATTGCGTATCTCTAAATTATGCCTTTCTTTCCAAACAGCTTTCACTATAGGTCCTGTAACACGTATGCCTGAAAGCCTTTTAATTTATTTTGACCTGGATAGGAATCATGAAATAGAAATAGTTTACTGTGGATGAGGTGCTTACACAGATGAGGATCACAAGTTTCTTCCTATCAGTCTATTCAGTTAATAGATGAACGTCTGTCTCGAAGTAGAAACTTGTCATAATTATTTATGAAGAAGTTTGGAAATTTTGGAGTGCTCTGTATTACAAAAATGTAGTTATACTTGTTTGAGGTAATAGTATAACTTACTGATTTACGTCCAATCTTGTAATTTCTTGCTTTTAGAATTCACTGCAGTGTTCTCTGTATTTCTTCTGTGAAGACACATATGTTCTGTACAGAAGAGCACAGTACAGAGATTTGCAAATTAGAGAATAGCTAAACCAGAAGATCCACATTGCACAGTACATTACAGCCTTGCCAGCCCAAGTGCAGAAGCTATATAGCTTCATTCATGTGGATTCAAAGGAAGGGACAGGGTTTGATAGCTTGTGTGCAGTACGGTACAGCATGGTAGGAACCCATTTCCACCACTTCTGGATCTGTGCTGATATGCACATGGTCATCTGGAGGGTCTGCCTCATGTTCAGCATTTCTGGGAGTTAGGATCAGTGGAACAAACATGGCACTTACAGTGTAGTCAAATCCTTTCCTGTACACTATATTGAATAGAATAAAGACAGTTTCTTTTTCTTAATAATGAAGTGCTATATATACTCATCTGTCCTGTTTTTCTTTTTTTGCTATCATTGCTCTCCAGCATATATTACAAAGAACTGCTGACTTTCAGAGTTCCATTTGTTCTGCTCACAGGCTTCTTGTGAACCATCTGCTGAAAGTTCACTCTCTTCTCCTGAATCAAATATTGAATTGATGCCTACATTAGTATGTCTGATTCTTGACTTCTCTTGTGCTATGGCTGCTAAGTCTATTCTATGTTGTTATGAAGTTAACTGCTTGAGCACACAGAAATTTATTGAGAACATGTAGCATATTCAGAAATTCTTGATTTCTAAAGTCTTATCTCAGTATGGGGTTTTTAATCTTAAAAAGGCCTTGGTAACCTGTATTTCTTTTATAAGAGTGACTAACTGAGATTTGGCCTTACTGAGGTTGAGGGTTCAGCTGAATTCTTAACTGCTGTTAGTTTTGTCCAGTAATGATACTCCCTCTTGTTTGCTATGCTTGATTTCCGTTTGCTTATTCTGACAGATGGGTTAACAATCACTTGTCATATAGGATTTTATCACCTTTACTACTTATTGAGTTTGATTGCTGCCTCTGTTTTTTTTTTTCCTTGTTCAGAAATAAAGGACAAAAAGAAAGTCTTACTGTGTTTCTTATTCTCTTCACTGGCAAAACCCTTCTGCCATTTTAGGAATTATGCCAAAAGAACTAGTATTCAAGTATTTATAAAGAAACAAGGCAACAGCTTTAACTGAAGTAGCTGCAGTAGCTGAGACTCTTTGGACTGTTTTCAGAGCTTTGGCAAAGGAGAGGGGAGGTGGTAGGAGATGCTTTCCCTCAGTCAGAACCAAAACGTATTCAAATATATATAAGAGGACAAAAGGTCTTCTGTTTCTCGAATTGTTACATTCTTGAGTTGAAATGAGTCTTTTCTTGTAAGATTGCAGTCATGTCTTCCAAGAAGCAACTTAAAAGTCTTTTGAGAGGTTTCCCAATTAACTTTCAGATCTCTTTTACTGTTCCTACAGAATTACATGTGAAGAATCCAAATACTTATTCTTTTATCTAAAATTATTGTAGTTATTGTAGAAAGCTGTAGTGTCAGGTTAGGGAAATGCCTTCTTCTATGCTGTGATGACTTTAAATCTCACTGGAAGTTTGAAAGAACTGGGAATAATGGAAACAGGAACAAGATTGTATGGAATTCTCTGCCAGTTTGCTTTTGTGGCAGATATGCCAGAGGAAAAATTTTTGCTATATCTGCAAAGACTCCTAAAAGATTATAAGAAGTACTTATTTTTAGTGTATTTTATTATTAGCTTGCTCAAAAACATTGAGATCCTTATGACTTTAACATAGGTAAATAATTCCTTCTGTAGGGAAAAATATTCTGAGACAATGTTGTGTGATGTGTTTTTTTTCCATCATATCTATGTAAAACATGTTTCCTGGCTCTTGCAGAAAGTGATCTAAAATCTGGTTTACTCTAGAAAACGTATCTTAAAGTTGTCAGTGTTGAAACAGTCAATGTTTTCGTGTTTGATTTATATTGCATTTATTTTTACTAATGGATAAGAGAAATGATACTAAAAGCAATCAACTGGGAAAAAGTTTGGTGATTTACTGGGCAAAATGCTGGGACAAACATACTATTAAGTGATTTCTGCTTTGGTTTTACCTGCTATAATGAAGCTGTTGAGAACAATTTGAGGTTAGTGATTGTCATTTAACAGAATAAAACTTCCATTTTTCCCAGGTGTATCACTTGCAAACGCTATGGTGAATGCTGGGCTGACATCATTTAAAAAAATAGAAGAAACAAATGCAAGGGAACTTGAATTGGTAATTGATTATTTTGTATGAAAATAAGTATAAGGAAAATAATGAGTATTAATACTGTTACCAGTAAAAGCGGTATGGTTAATATATATCTACTGTATGATTCTTAGCAAAATTGAGTGGTTTAGAATAATAGACTCAGGGAATAGTTTGGGTTGGAAGGGACCTTCAAAGCTCATCTAGTCCAATCCCCCTGCAGTGAGCAGGGACATCTTCAACTAGATAAGGTTGCCAGAACCATATCCAGCCTGGCCTTGAATTTGCTTATACTGGTGAATTAGAAACTTACATGGCTACTGCTGCTTTTCCTTGAAAATATGTATGATCTTTTATTCTAGCAAATTAAATGTGGAAGATTTCACTGATTTGGCTAGGTTTGGAAAACAGTTGCTTAAATCTGTAGAATTTCATCATTATATGGTTTGAAACAAAAGACAATATGCATTTCCCTTTTACAAGTGTTAGAAAGAGAATATATATTTAAAGTTTCTCTTCATGTATGTTGAGAATCCTGAATTTCCATTATTTCTAGTTTTAGTTAAAGATAGTCATAAAACAAAGTTCTCAATCATCTATAAAGCATTTTTTATTTTACGGAAGTTAGACCCCAGGACAAGTTCTTTAGCTTTTGGCTTCTTTTCTGAGGAAATTCTTTTTCCAGTGTTCTGGAAGATAAAACAGATTTCTAAAGGAAATCGATCTTACTTGGGTTTTTCTGTTTTGGCTTTAGGAATCTGAGTTCTCTTTTCTGCCTCCTTCTGCAGTTTTCCTGTCATTTGTTTTGTTTTGATAAAAACTAGGGCAACATAAAAGAGTCACCTCATATAAAACCTGAGTAGTCAGGTTTTGAGGTTATTGGCTAGTTCACTGGCTGTTACCTGATGAGCAGTGGTAGCAACAAGAAAAATACTGGAATTTTCTTTTGGTTCTGTTGCTACTCTGGGCACTGCTGACAGGAAAGAACCAGGAGTGATAAGGGCTTTTGTTGATAGTATAACTACTCTGGTGACTTTGATTCCTTGCATTTACATTTCTCCTGGCATCTCTGATCAGCTGAATGTATCAGAAATGAAATTAAATCTTTGCAGATTTTAAACAGACATCCTCCTTTTGGAAACCAGATAAAAGAATCTGTTTTGCACCTTCCAAAATATGAACTTGACATTGAACAGGTAAATGCTTTTCTATTTAGTTTATGCTGATATTATTAAATGAAAGAGCATGATATTATTAAATGAAAGAGCAAATACTGACTTAAAGAAGTTTTGAGCCTCTGCTGATAGAAGATAACACAATATTAAGGCCTCTGTCCACCTTAGCATGTATAATCAAATTCTTAAATATTGAAGGAGAGCCTTGGAATAGACATTCCATGTAATACATTGGCCTCTCATTAATAGCATTTTATGTTCCAGATGCGAACCAGTATATTCCACATTCTAGCATTATACGTAAGCCTGAGAGTTCTCTTCTGTCTTAATGATAAATCCTAGAGACAGAAAAAGCATCTATATAAAAGTTACTGAAGAAGCATTAACTGATGTTTATTTTCAGTGTCACATTTAGGAATACAGAGAAACACTAAATGGTTACACTAAATCCGCCGGTACCCTTTCAAAGGAAGGGTGTAGTTCTATGTGCAGCCAAGAGCTTTGAGGTTCTGATACTCATTTTGCCTTTAAACAGATCACACAGCCATGCTACCTATCTGAAATGCAAAATTTGAAACATAGCCTTAAAGTGTCTCATGAAGATACCCTTGAAGTTAAAAACTCAATATTATGTGTGAAATCTTATTGTTGCAACAATCAGTTCTATTTTAGTTTGTCATTTGACATAATACCACATGAGTATCTCTAAAGTTATTCTCAGAAGGAAGATTTAGCAGTTAAAGGTATCTTTTAGAGGAATGTTGTGATGTCAAAACACGCCTAGGTTTTCTTCTTGTATCTTTCTGTTTGCATTGAACAGAGGAGAATTTTTTTAAGGGCTTAACGTAGACTGTCTTTTACTCTCAATACTTAATCAAATTTAGAATATTCAGCTATGGGCAAGTTAGTACTGTATAACAATGTCTCAGAACAACAAATGAACATTGTGCCATAAACTGAAATTGCTTGAGTTGAGATTGTGTTTGCATCAACAGTTAAAAATCTACAGTAGAGCACATACTTTGCATATTTTAGCAGTTATGTCTTCTTCTATATCATTTTTTCCTAGCTTCCAAAATACAGTGATACATTGGCTGAAATCTTAGTAACCATCAGATTAACAAACTATGAGCAGCTACAAACGAAGAGAACAGCGACAGATTTCCACTATGTTACACTGGTTATAGGAGATGCTGACAACCAAGTCATTTTTAATCAGAAAATTATGTATGTATTATCAGGGGGGTTTGCCTTACATCTTTTAAGGCTATTGGCTTTTAATCCTTACTGTGATTCATGAGTTTTCCCATACTTTGTATTGATGATAAATGGTACAAAATCACTCTTTATCCTACAGCATTTTTTAGTCACTGTTGTCATTTAAAATGCTGCACAAGATTCAAAAACCTCCAAAACATGCCAGTGTATTTGTCAGTACAGAGTATGTGTAAGTATCTGTACAAGACTGATGTCATATTATGGAAGTCATAATAATTTCCATATCAATATAAACCATAAATACAAGCCTATTTAAAAAACAACTTCTCAAGTTGTTACTTCCTCTTCATAGCTGTATTTCTTTAATTATATCATATTGTCAAAGTTGTTTCACTCAGAGATGGAATTAAATTCTCCAGCTGGCTTAAGGTATGCTTGGAGCAAATGGGAAAGGAGAAACGAAACCTTTTCCAACTGTGTGACCTTCACATGAGTTCACGCTGAGGTCTGGCACTTTTGGCAGAACTGAAACTTACTTGCAGGATCCTGGCTTTTTTATGACCATGGATTGTATATTATTGGAAGGTTATTTTTAGGCCACTTAGCAAGCAAAATCCAAGAACTAAGACCAAAGAAAGGCTCTTTCACTTGGTTACAGATGTCATAGTATACAATCGTGTTTTCACTGTCCATGCCTAACAAAACTTCACTGATACATTACAGGGATTCTGTGCTGCTGAAAACTGGCAATTGGACAAAGAAAATTGAAGTGAAAAGAGCTCTTAAATCAGAAGAAATTAGTATAAATTTAATTAGTTCGGATTACGGTAGGTTGGTTGATATGCTTTTAATTTAAAAACAGCTGCATAACATTTTGAATAAATGATTAAAACACTTTATATCAAGCCAAAAATTACAATAAAATGAACTGATCTGGAAACAAAATTATATTACATGAGTATTACCTAACAGTCCTAGTTACATATCTGTTTCATTTATTTGTGTATTAATGAACTGGGAAACATCAAAACTGTTACTGGGAGATATTTTACTCTGATACAGATTAGGATTCTCTTTTGCCCTTTGCCTTGAAGTTGAATTAACTTTCAGTTGGGATAACCTATCATTTTGATAAGTTATTTATGCTGGGAGGAGCTGTCTTTGTGAACGGTTAGGTTTTGCATTGTGATAGAAGAAGTATTAAATATGGATTCGTCTTCACTTTAATAGCAAGACAGTTCTACAGTGGAAAATTTTGTGCTTTAATGTGTGCTGATTTAAACACAGGTCCCATCAGTGTCAATCACCATTATATTGGCAGTGTAAAGCCATAGATAAATGTTGTTTTAAAACAATTCAGAAAAAAAATCTGTTAAAGGGACTAATTTTGTTACTTGTCTAGTAATCATGTCTTTAATTCTGAAAATGTTTGGGTTTTTTTAGTCGTGATCAGAAAGAATCCATTCATATAATAGTGTGCTTTTAATGGTACATTACCTTAATAAATCTCCATGATCCTTTAATAGCATTTATACTCTTTAGAAAACTGAAAGTAATCAGTAGTTTAGAAATAGTTTATAGCGATTTTAAATATTTTTGTCTTTTTCTTTTTTCTCTAAAGTTGGCCTTGATATACAGCAAGCATATACAGCCTTTTACTTAACACCAAAACCAGTGGGAAATAAGGTGGTTACAAATCAAAACCTGCAGGCCAAGTCTTCACTTGATACACGTTATGGCTCACCTCAGAGTCTGTCAGCAGCAAAAGTAGATACAGGTAAACAGTCAGATCATAACATTTGGCTAATACCAAAGTCAACAGAAAATTGAGGTTTGCTTTCAGTAGAGATCATCTTTACCCATACTGTTTCTTTCAGAAGTGTAACAGAAATACAGTGGCACTGCTTTCACTTGTCAAGTGCTGCAGTGCAAGTCTTTCACGAATTGGAAAATAAGAAGAATTAAGTATTTGGTATTTAATATTATCATTTGAATGTGGGAATGTGTACTGCCTCTGTCAGTACCACTGATTAATATTAATATTATTTGAGCAGCCCAAAGTTTTGTTGAAGGCAACAAAATTCTAGTGACCCAGATTACTTCTAGCCTGTCTTTTACTGCCTGAAGTACTCTCTCAACAATACATATGAAATAAAAAATGAGCATTTCTATATGTATCTAGGAGGCAGATCTAAACAAGAGATTACTTACAAGAAATACGGAAACAGAGAATGCAACCACCGCTGTAAAAACAAAGACATGTGTGGACATGACTGCTGTGAGTTTCCTTAAATCTACTATTTCTGTTAATTTTAGACAAATATAATTTAAAATAGCTTAATTTATAGCAATAGCTACATTAACAGAAGCAGTGTGTCAAGAGAGTCAGGCCTCAGCTGCTGTTATCATGCAGTCATAAAAGCACGAATAACAAGTTTGGTCTTTTACACTTTTATAGGAACTACATAATTAATAATACCTTTCAGAACATGCAGCATTGGATTAAAGAGCAATGTAAAGCCTGTTACTCTTTTATATAAATATTGGTGTGTTATATCTTTTAAGATCTTTTATTAGAACATACTAAGCTTAGTGGCAAAGTTCCCATTGATCTGGGAAGAATTAGGATTTATCACTTCTAAATTAATCTGAACAGTATTTTAATTCCTTTTCTTCTCAGGTAAAATTGGAGTACCTCCAAAGTCTGAGATGAATGGAGATGCAAAGTTTTCTTTGTACCTAGCTGATTTAAGGAGCAGGAACTCAATTTCATGTGTACCCCCAGTAAAACGGTTAAAGGTTCATTTGAATACAGTCAGCCATTGAATAGATTTCTTTTAATCTGTTATGTATTTTGTATGTATTGTTTGCAGACAGAATTTTATAACTAAATATGAACACTCAAGTTTGTCTTTTCTGTGTGGAATGCAAAAAGCAAAGAAATACAAAGGTACCAAATGTCCAGGAATCTTTGAGAGGTTCTGCTGCTGTTTGGAATACTTTAAATGATCCACTTCTGTACATGTACTCTTTGGTTTTACTTGTACTGCATTTGATATATTGTGGTGGGTGAGGTACAGAGGCATCTCTGAAAGGTACAGTACTCTGACTTGGTTTGGGCCAAATATGACCTGAATGAAAATAAATAGTGGTATTTATCAGAGTAATGCTACAATGAGATCTTTTTGCATTGATAGGTAAATACACCTATTATAAAAAAAACCCCACCATGTTAGTTTTTAACCTCTGAAGGGTTTCATGGGTTACACTTTTTCCCTTTGAAAGTACTAAACTAGTTCTTTCTGCAACAAGAATGGCATTTGAGATATTGGAGTGTTTTATTTCCTCCTCAGTTTTGTTTGCTTGTTTGTTTGCAATAGAGAATGATTTAGCCTGTAGCTAATACAGTTGAGAGTTAGTGATAACCAGTCTGACTTTGCATTGGTACTTGGATAACTCCACTAGACACAAGTAATTCAAACCTTTTTAACTGATTATGTTAGATAAGCAAACATCAGATTTTACATATGATCTTTAAAAATTATGTTAACTTCATACAGTATTAATGATGTCATTAAAGCTGTTAAAAAACAATGGTTTTCAATATCTTTACGTCTCATCAGTTACAATAATCTGCTTTCTTTAGATGCAGATGTTAAATCAAACTCAAACTGTGGATCTCAAGCAATTTGTTTTTACACCTAAATTTTCATTGCCGGCATTGCTGAGGTACTGATTAATATAAGTAACAAAAGAAAACTGCCTTATTTTAGATAATATTAAGTTGTAACAACTAAAACCTGTTCTCTGACTAAAAATATTTTGCAATTTTTTGCTACTGTTTTACTGGCATGTGAGTGATTTCTTCCTTTTATTTTAATAGGTCTAGCAATGGACAGTTATCTTCATTACCTTCAGTGGACCAGACAGATAATATTAATAGCTTAGGGGGATCTCAGAAACAACTGCAGTCCTGGAACTATGGGAAAAGTAGTAAGTTATTGCTGATGTTTGAAATTACAATTTTTTACTGTTTTGATTTGAATGTATTTGTAAATTCAAACTTGCTGAAATTACTATGACAACCAGTATAACATTATAAAACACTGAATGTATAGGGGAGATATAGTGGTCTTAATTGGGTTTCTTTCTGGTATTGCTAAGAATTTCTAATGTGTATCTAAGTGTCTAAATGTACCTTTAAATAAAACAGTAATGACTCGATCAAATATATGAAGTTCTAAATATATAATATTTCCTGAAAGGTATGACTGTAATATATTTCTACTGAAGCTACTTGTAATACAAGAAGTATTTTACCACTATATGTATATATTTTCTTCTTTTCCCTTTCTGCTGGAAGAAGTTAGTAAAGAATGAGCTTTTGTTTGGTAGTTGACAAAATGTGACCATTCAGTAACTGAGTTCATAATTAGTAAAACATCCTTATCTGGAAAAAAAATTTCTATTTCGTCTCCACTGGAAAGGCCACAAATCTTCTTACACATGGTGTTAAATGATATGTCTTCATTATCAGTATATAACTATGATGTTCTCACTGTGTGCCTTTTGCCTTTGTATTTGGTGACAGCAGATCTATGTGAATGAAGCTTTGATTAATTTGGCTATTAAATTCCAATGTTTAAGTCATACTCAGACATATAAGAAACACTATGCTGAAATGAATGGAAACTTTTTGGTCTGTACTGCTTTGAGTGCTGGCTGCTATACTGTGTAATTTTAACATCCTTGTCAACAAGGACAACGGGATTGAGCGCACCCTCAGCACGTTTTACGACAACACCAAGCTGTGTGGTACCGTCAACACTCTGGAGGGGATGTGAAAGGGATGCCATTCTATGGTTCTGTAATTTCATTTTTGCTTAATATTTTGATGATGGGATTGTAATCCTATTTCTTTAATGCTTCATATTTTCCTGCAATAATAATTTACCTGCTATAGTTATCTAGTCTTAAGATGGAAGACTGTTGCATAGGTGTATCATGGTTTGCTGGGAGGAGAGAGCAGGTTGTTCATGTATCATATGATTGTGTTAAAAGAGTAAAGTCATGGGATGACTGATGGATATTCCAGTATAGCTATAGTCTGTGCTCAAGAACATCTTGAGGCAAATCATACAGGATCAAGGGGATGTAGAAGATACTGCTGACTAAAAACCATCTCTGTTGAATAAGCAGCAGAAAAGCCAGCCTTGGCCAGACTGATTAGGCTGGCTGGATTTTACAGAAATGCACCAAAAATAGTTCTAATAAAGGCATCAGTTTATATAATTTTTAAAGGATTAACTGCATCTGTAATACACTCTCTTTCCATTTCAAACAAAAAAAAAAAGTGAGAAATGTAATTAAGAATATACAGTGAAACTGTAGTAACCTAAACACATGATTTAAAGTCTGTGTAACTGCAGTAATGCGCTGTGCTGACTGCACATCCAAAATGACAACAGCAGTCCCTTCATGGTGTTGCCAATGTCTCTGGAACAGGATTTCTGATTTGAGCCTGTCCTGCTCCCCCTCTGTTGAAAGGGAGACCTGGATCAGGATTTTTTAGGCATATTAGGGCCATGGCAACAGAATGAAGTTTCCAGCACTGTCTGATGCTGGAGGGTAGTTTGGCAAAAGAAAGATGAAAAAAATAGCAGAGAGAATGGCACTGGTGATGAAAAGAAATAACACAACAAACAAAAGGGAAAGAGTTAAAGGAGACAGGAAAGTCATTTTTGCAACAGAAAAAAAAAGTATTTTAAAACATTAACTCACATTTTATTTAAGAATTTTAACAACAATGCTTGAAAATGTGTTTGTCATGGTTGTTCTTAGGCATTAGATCTGTGTGGAGGCAGAGAGCATTCAGTGTGTTGAAAACTGGGGAGAAGGATGGACTGAATTAAAAGTACTAAGTTTGGAATCAAGCAATGCTTCTGACAAAGGCAAAGAATGATATAGCAGTGGTTTTCCTAGAATCTACACTGAGGGTGACTTTTCTCAAAACAATGCTGAGAAAAGTTGCATATAGTACAATCCTCCTTTCAATAGGTTGAGCAAGTGGTCATAAACCAGACAGGTTTTGTTGTACTTATCCATTACAAATATATTACAGCTTTTCCTTGGGAACATTCAGTGTTTGAGTGTGAGAAAAGCTGAGACAATGGCATAAAAAAAAAGTTTAAATCATTAATGTGTAACTTGATGGATGCAGATAAAAGCAGATCTTGTTTTTCAGATTCTTTCGATGTGGACTTTGAAATGCAGGATGATGTTTGGGATGATATTGATGATGAGAAATTAGTATATGCTAGCAATTTTGACAGTAGAGATATAGGTATGGTTTACAAAATTCTTTGTTTCCTATGTAGAAATTATTTTACAGGCTATTATTTGACAATAATTTATAACAGTACACAGTGAAGACAACTACCTGAATTTTTTTGGTTCATTGACTTTACCACCCTTCAATGTCACCTATATTGAGATAAATGTAATACATAAGGGAGAGTTGAGAAAGTAATAATGAAATATCTTTTGGATGGCCTGCAACTGCATAGTTGTTATTTTATTTGACTGCTTATCTCTGCTATCTTTTCATTAGCTCAAAACCTACAGAAGAAATATTTTAAGTGTTAAGACATTTGTATAATTTTCAACCTATTATTTATCATATTAAGATATTTAAGATATTTAAGATATTAAACTTTCATTCTTACATGGAACATGGAAATATCTGTCTTTAAATTCCAGATGAGTGTGAACCAATTGACCAGTATATAAGAAGCAAAGCCACAAATGACATTTCAAAACAGTAAGCATTATATTATTTATTACCATTTTATTTAGTTAAAAATATTGTAGCTTTATAATTAAATGTAGAGAAGGATGTTCACTCATAAAACTGAGTGAAATTTCAGCTTTTAAAAGGCAAGAATTGTTGAATGATTTTTTTCTTTTTTTTCCTGTTTAAGTGTGAAGGGAAATAAATAGAAAATTCTGAACTGAAAAGTAAATAATTTTGCACTTCTGTAAAAATACTTACATTATTCAATTGGTATTTTCAGTTCGTGCACATTACAAGATGAGACAAGTGTTCAGAACTCCACGGTTTCTGTGGTTGATAGCCCATCAAAAGTGAATTTATCTGCACAGCATGGAAATACAAATATGGTGAGCAAAAATACTTTTTATAAGAGAATTTCCTAGAATTTCCTAGGTGTATAAAATATATTTACCACAGCTGACTTCTGAGTCAGCTTGGACATAATGATTTTCTGAACCTTTGTGTTGTCCAGATATGCATGCATGGTGTGTTCAGTGTGATATTCATGATACAAAAAACTAGGACCTGAATTTACTTCATATAGCATGACTTCAAAACTCAATTTGATTGTGATTCTGCAAGTTATTTAATATATAATTAGATTTATAATGCGCATGGACCTTGTCAAATACAAGAATATCAGTATAAATATCTGTACTACATACTACAGCAGTCTAGTATTTTCTCTTTTGGATTGTTATTTTAACCAGATACCCTTTTCACCATTTACACTGCAGTTCAGTTTTCAAGAGAAAAACTGTTCAAATCTTTCACAAGAGCTGAAAACTGCACAATGTTCTTCCATCTCAAAAAAGATCCCAGACTCTTCTAAATTCACTAGGAAAGAGGATTTCTTTATTTTCACAGAACAGGAAAAGGAAGCAGATCCCAGGTAATAAAAAGTTGTGTTCTTCTGTTGCCTCAGCATTCCAATGCTTAGTTCCTCATGGAACACAGACTTTTAGGCAATGTGTTAATATATAACCTTAATTGTATAAAGATGAATTTTCATAGTAATAGAGGCAATTAACTTATTTTTTTAGAAAGGAAATACTTTAAAGTTATTTTGCTTGTCTTGATATTTCTTGGCTATTCTTTGTATAGTGTTCCTGATTACATAGGTTTTGATGTACTAAATGTTTTTGTTTGCTTCATCTTCATTAGATACCTTCTTGATGATGAAATCAATGATGTCAAGCCCTTTCTTGGTATATTTGATGGCATTTTGTAAAACATATAAACCAAAATACATTGTAAGAGTTGGGGAAAGAAGTTACAGTCATCTTTACAGAGGGAATCCTTCAAATCCAGTTAAGTGAATTATCTCTGTTGTATGCCTATTTACCAATAGCTAGATGGCTGCACAAAGTAGATGGTAACACAATTGATGTAAAATTTATGGAATTCTAGGTATATTATCTTGTTCTGAAATGTACTTAAATACTTGTTTGTTGGCTTTGCTGTTTTTAAGAAAATACTGGAATGTGTCACAGGAGAATAGGTTTCAAACTGAGGGTGCTGTTATAAACTGAAAAACACATAAGGGGAAGTGAGCTGTATATGACATGCCCTGCTTACAAGTACACTTTAAATGAATGAAAGGCTCTTTCCTCAGAAATTTCTTAATGCCTTTTGGTGTTATCTTTCAGTTTTTCTAATGCTGATTTTGTTTATAGCAGTGTTTCTGTAAAAATAATTAGATTTACAAATAAAAGGAACAGAATGGTAAGCTACTCTAGGCTTTTGACATTCTAAAATGTCTACAGACAATACTCAGAATTTGTGTTTGCCTGTGCACTTTTACACCAAAGGTCATAAAATGGACATTTATGCATCTTAGTGCAGTTTTAGGCAACCAAGCATTGGATTTGGTTATCTTATTGTAACTATTTTTTGAACAGTAGACCTTGCAATTTCAATAGTTAGAAAAAATACATGATATTGCCTAAAGTCCAAGCAACTGCTAATTTTCACTGTTAATTATTCAAAATATATGGAATTAAAATGTTAGAAAGTCATGCCTGGAACTTTAGCTGTCTGTTCTTGAAACCAAATGCAACACTATTTTGCTGCACTACGTGGTTGTATTTTTCTCAGCTAATAACATTTTACTTGACTCTGATGTTTCCTTACACTTTTTACTTACTCTCTCCATATGAAAGCATGGCCTAGCATGAGCAGCATCAGTACCCACCACTTGGTATGGTTTTGACTGCACAAATTCCAACAGACCAAAGTTTTAACTCACTTTGCTGTACTTCAAATATTTCATTGCATCTGGAAGTTTGTAGTATGTCAGATTTTTTTGTCTCAATTGTTTTTTACATTAAACTTCCAAACTACGGTAACTCAGAATTATTATTCTACTACATTTAGCCCTGCAGTCCTAGTCATATACTTCCTAGTCACCTCCCAGTTCTGTGTCAGAGTGAGATTTAAGAATGCAAAGTGCCAAATATAATTTTAGGTGACCCAGAGAATCTTCCCTCAGCTCCATCTACTGTGCCAAAGATGTTCCAGATCCTCTAGGGCGTCTAAAATGTACTGGATGCTAATGTTTAAATACCTGATTCTCTCCCTGCTACTTGAAATACGTGGGTTGTTTTTTTTTCAATGTATAGTTCATATTTACATGGCATTCTTTAACTGCCTTTGTATCCTGCCTTTCCCTGGCCTTTTAGCTTGCAACAACTAATTGCAACAACTAGTTGCAACAAACAACTAGTTTCTTCATGTTGGCCAAAAGCTTTTACACAGCAACACAAGGCTGAGCTTCAAACATGGGAAAGAGGAGAGGAAGGAAACAATTAATGTAATCTTGAGATTATACATCATTTATATCATATTGTTGTTATACAAATTGCAACTTTCCAAAACCTTACTCACCTGCTGGTTGCTGAGGCCTCACCTGCAGACTGGGAGAGCTTCTGATGGCAGGTGCTGCACCTTTTCCTGCTGCTCTGCATGAAGCTCCTTCTAAAGGTTCTTGAGCTGTGAGGCAGAAACTAGTGGAATTTGATTGTGCTTAGGTCTTCATAAAAATGAGTAAGGTAAACTTCATTTATTTCTCTGTACTAAGGAAGCATCCTTCTGAGGGGTTTTTTTGCCCCATTACTACACTGAAGGTGTATTTCCATTTTTCTGTGAGGTATTTTTGTAGTTTATGTAATGTCAAAAAGTAATTGATATTATTGCCATTTTTTGCTTCTTTTTTTTTTTTGGTATAGTCTAAATATAACCACTTGGCTTTATTTACTTTATAGGAATAAGTTTATATCTAGACTACTACTCCAAATAAAATGACCCTTGCAGGCAGGTATTTTATTTTCCTCTTATTTTTCACCAGTGCAGGAGTTCAGAAGTTATTATTGGGGTACTTCAAGATTTAAAAGGCTTTCATTTTCAATTTGACCCATAGTCAGAACACATGATAACAGAAGCATTTCAGTACTTTTGAGACTATTCAAAGCGCTTTGCAGATGGTTTATCAGGTTGTTTCCTGTCTCTGTTTTTCACAAGACAACCACATCCTGTATTATCCTTGGAAAATTACAAACTTCTGCTATCGCTGCTGACAGCATTTCAGAGATTTCAGACTATAAATCTTTCAATACTGCTATGTCTTTACAGGAACACTGAACCTCTGGTGCAAAAACATTTTTCTAGAGATAAGGGCTTTATTGGGCACTGTTGTTTCTCTTATTATTCATATTAGCTCTATGACTCTTTAATTCACTTTCAGAAAACCAGTCTGGAAGTACTTAAATGCTGAAGCGTTCTTTATCTCAGGAAAAGGAATGACTGTTCATATGGCAGCATTTGTTATTGTTCCAGTTTCAAATCAGAGTAATTCAAAGATCAAAAGTGATAATCATAGTAGGTCTCTATGGCAACAATTACTTGCAGATACACAATGACGATACTTCAAAACAAATACAGGCAGAAAAAGCAAACTGACTACAAAATTAGAAAAATCTAGTACAATCTTAATTTTTTTTTTTAATTCAATTTCCAAACTAAGTAGCTCAGAATTACGATGCTACTACTGAGTCCTACTCATGTACATCCTAGTCACTTCCCAGTTCCATGTCATGGTAAGGGTTAAGAATACAGTTTACCTCCATCATCTGACTTCCATGGCAATCAGATGGCTTCCAAGCAGGAACAGTGGTGTTTCTCCACAGATGCTTTATATGAATGGCCAGGGACCAAAATCCCATCTTATGCGCCAAAAGTTAAGTACAGACGTAGCTACAAAGAGCTGTAATTTTAGTAATTTAACTGAATCACATTAGGTGATAACCTAGTTCACCTGGGCTCCCTATGTAGTCATTAGAAAGAGGCAGACACTGTCAGAAGATCATTCACATTGTAAGTGGGCTAAATTGCTCCCAGTTCAGGTGGAACTCACCAAATTAGCTATGATGAAAGTGACCACATACAGTTAGCTTGGAGCAGCTGGTGTGCTGTAATTTCACAGCCAGGCTCACTTGAGTATTGCCTTTCTTGTGCACATGAGATGCCCAAGTTCTTTTATCCACATAAGGATTCAACTTTCCTAAGTTGAGTAGTCTTATTTCTGTACAGCAGAAGATGGCTGTGCTCCACTAATGTTGCTGTGTGCGGCTTCCTTTTAGTTGCTGCCCAGGTGATAAAACATACTGATTAAATTCAACAGGATAACATCGGACAATATCACTAAGCTACTACCAATAGATAAAATACAAACTAAAATACATAAAAACATTGTTAAAGTCTGAAAGGATCCTTGTTTTTAATTCTGCATAGAGTTGTAACATTAAATGAGTGGCTTGATTTTCAATCAGTGGGATTGTGTAAGTAATTCTTTGGGGATACAGCAGAATGCCACAGACTTTAGTCTGGGGATGATTCTATAAAATTTACATTATAAAAATACTGTTTCCCATAATGGAGTAGTGAAAGAAAATTCAATGTGACAAGAAGTCAGATTTTGCTATCTTACTTGTCTGATTCTCTGTAATAAAATACATGCTTATACCTGCTTTTAATTTAACTTCAACTTCCTTATATAATTCCTTGTCCTATCACATAAATTGGTTTCAAAATATAAACTGAGGTCAACCATATCTGTGCCTGAAGAAAATGCAGTATCCCTTCAAACCCCATGATCTTATTGTTAGCAGGAAAATAAGTATAGTGTTTAAACATGTTGCCAGATGCATTTGTGTTTAAGGTACGTTCACAGCATATGGAATACTGTAAACGTGACATCAGTATAATTGTATGCAGCATGTCTTGTGATCATTTTAACTATGTAGACCTTATTCATGTATTTGAAGACTTTAATGGGTTAAACATTACCATAATTACTAAAATAATGATAGTGGTTACAAGTCAGACTCTTGTTATTTGGATGTGGTTTTACTTTGATGTACCTTCACAGAATAGTTATGTGAGGTATAAAAGTTGGTGCTCTTAAAGGCAGTGAGCCTGAGGATAAGGAGTGAACAGAAGTCACTGTATGGAACCAATATACACCTGAAAAAGAGTTAAAATCTGTCATTTTGTAAAGCACAAATAATACATCTCTAAGGCATCATTAGGACAGAATAACTGGTATCCCTTCTAAAAGAAGTATTTTGCCTTACCTTTTTATGTCACTCCTTCTGCTTTTTATGTAGGAGAGCAGTATCATGTGAATTGTTTTACCAAAAGAACTTTCAAATTATATCCATGAAAAGAGACCCATGGATGCCTGTTGGGTTTTAGGGGTCTTTCCTACCTTCTTTGCTTGAAAAGGAAAAGGAGGTGCTAGTCAAGATAAAATTAACTTCTTTCAGAGGATTACCAACACATGGAATTTATTGAAGGCTTAGATGAGAATAAGCTGAGGCGCACACTGTGTGCTGA